GTGGAGTTTTTTTTCTGCAAATGAAGTGAAAACACAAATGATTGTAGTCTGATGATTATGATGTCGACGATGTTCATCAAAGCAATTTAGTGATTCCTCTTTTGTGCTCTAATAGCTGATTGTCTTAGTAAGCACGTACAAATTGGCCACGGTTCGTCACTCTTTCTTGTTAAATTGGAAACAGCATCCTGCCTTTGATGGGCCAAACTTTAAGTTGCTCTGAGCTGTGAATACAGAGCAGACTCACCATGTCAGAGCAAACATCTGCAGCCATCATTTAAAGGCAGCAGCGTCGTGGAGAGAGTCATCAAAGATGCCCGAACCGCCTGCTCCCCTGCCACTTAAAAGGCACTTTTGCCTTAATGGTCATTATATTGTTTCATAGACTGGATAAAAACAAGAATGCAGACAATCATCAATTAATGCTTTTTTTAAATGAAGTTTTTAACTAAACGAATCAGACATGCAGCTAATGTTGACAAAGCAAACGTCAAAAACAGGAGAAATCACAGTATGAGGCTGGCAGCCCCAGCCGTCGCCATAAGAGGGAGACAGTGAGCAAATCATGGGTCACTTACGGAAGGATTATGGGTACAAAGTATACGACCTATAGAAATGCTGATTGAGGCTATGAACCTGACTAGAAGATTCTAGACGTCTGCTGCTGTTGCAGTCGTTTAAAAGAGTTTTTCTATGAGAAATGGGTCATTTTCAATTGTGTTTGTCCAAAACAGAACAAAGACCACCAGCAACTCAAACCCTTCAAATGTTCTTCCTGCAAATGTCTGATGGAGAAATCAGCCCGTTGCTGAAGCGACATTGGTTACACCAGCCGAAGCCTGGGGAAGGCCCACCTCGTTTCCATAAGCAGAGTCCTGCGTTCCTGTTTTCATGGAGAGCGCCACCTAGCTGCAGCCTCACCTACATTTTTATTCATTGTATTTTCCAAGGCAACAAGGGAGGGGCCATCATTGTTTAATTTGTGTTGGACGTTCTGGTATGACAGCTGGGGCCAGTATTATGAAAGCGGGTTCTTTGCTTAGCTGGATAACTTGGAGGCTAATTACGCGTCGCAGTAGCTCTGGCTTCTCGAAATCAAAACGCCGGTTCTCTTATTAGCGGGACACATCACCATGTTAACTCATGCAGGGCAAACCTGTTTCAGAGCAGGTAGTGTTTCAGGAGCACGGATCTTACAAAGTGTTTTGACCAATCAAAGATAAGAAGTCAGTATATTACCTAAAGTGACAAATGGGCTTTCCCAAAGTTTCGAAATGGCTTGTCCATATGAATCCCGTGACTGCGGTAAAGTTAGCTGTATATTCGATATTAAGTCTTACGGTTGCACAAGCAAGCAGGCAATTTTTAATGTCAAACCTTTGATGTCCACAGGCAGAAATACATTTTTGTGTTTGCTATGTGTTTTAAATCATGTTAAAAAAAATTTAATTGCTTTGGCACATTCCATGAAAAATATTTAACATTCTCAAGACTGTGAGAGCATTTCTCAAATCAGTTCATGCAAATAGTGCAACACTATGGTTTAGCAGCAAAACCTGTAATCCAAAACAATTATCTCACGTCTCAAAAGCAAATAATTCCACCAGTGAAATAGTACAATCAGCATCTTTTTCATCATGAGAGCCGAATTGCTTAGATACATTATCAGTATGTCAGTGTCAGTCTGCTCCTGAGCTCCACAATTCTGAATGACAGTCGGTTCCCACTTTCTCATTGACACTGACTGATCATTTTTCATTAGCAAACTGATACTTATTCGTGTCTAAGACACCAGTTTAAACACTGCAAGGCTCTACATTACAGTATGTAAAGCTCACTGGCAAGAGAAAGCGCTCGCATGCACATGTGAGTGATACAGCATTGCTGTGTTTTTGGTTCTCACAGTACACGATTGTCATTTTGTTGTTCTTCCATTGCCATGTTGCTGTTTTTGCGTTATAACAGTACTGTGTGACTTTTTTGTTTGCTAGTGTACTGTGTCTGAAGAAGTTACATGTGCATACGAGTGCTTTCTCTGGCCAGTGAACTTTACATACTGTAAATGGTGGAGTTATTTGCCTTTGAGTCACAGACTTGCAGCTAAACCATAGTGTTGCATTAAATGCATAAACTGTTTTGAGAAATGATCTTATAGTCTTGCACATGTTAAGTATGTTTCATAAAATGTGCCAAAGCAATTGAGCAAGACTAAAATTTGGAAATGTGTGTGAAGCAATGAGAAATTATGTTCTGCTGTAAAGTAGTGACATAATGGTGTGGGGATTACACTTGTTGTTTTACAAAAAGTTAATTATCATTTGAGAAATGCTCAAAAGCAAAACTGCGCATTTAGTCATTTCAGTTGCACTAAAGGAGTCTACAAAGACTGGTGCCTTATTTTCATAGATG